TTCATCATTGAGTTCTTGTTCCTTTATATGATGTATCTTGGTTCTTATTTTTTCCCCATTCCCCTGCCCTCCCTTCCCTATTTACAAAGACTTTGTTTCCATTTTTTTCCTTTTCTCGTATTTTTTCTTTTCCCTTTTCTTTCCCCTACCCCTTCCACTTCCCCTACTCCTTTAGACCTTTTCTTCCTATTTCACAATATCAGTTATACATTTTGATCCTTATTTACACTTTTCGTTTTTCACACCAGAGAAACTATTTGGTATTTACATATGTGTGTCCTATTTATTTCACTGAAGAGTATGGCCTCAATGTGCATCCACTTAGCTATAAATGTCTCTAGTTTATGAATAGCTATTTAACTTGCTTATTGCCTGGAGTTTTCCAATAAGTAGTGGAAGCCATGATAAATTTTAAATAGAGAAATAAATCATATTTTTGTTTTTGGTGATTGTCTTCGTTTTGGTGATCTGTTCCAGGCTGAAAAACTTCTAGAGGGGAGCTAGAATAATGTTGGTAAGGGTCAATCAAATGGTATATGAAGGAGCTATCACTTAACAACACAATCCATGGCCATTGAGTGATTTATATGACTTTAAAATTTTGCTTTGAGTTGATGGTAGGTTTCTTTGTAAGAGTGGATCTTAAAGGAGAATAGTTTCTACCAGAAGATTATTTTGCAATGTGGGCAATGGAGGTAGGGAAGGCAGTCACGTACTAAAATATCCTGGAGGGCCTTTTGAACAATATATCTCTAGCCTTTTCCACTTAGTCATTGCCAGAGTGTAACTCTATTACTGATGGGAATCTGCTATTATTACAGATGGGGAAACTATTGCACTAGAGAATTTTTTTTCCTACCATGAAAGTATTAACTAGGAGGAATAAACAGCCACAGAAGTGAAACAGAATTTCCTTGCATGTTAATTCTTGCCTGTTGGAGAGAAATTTTTTAACTGCCCAAACAGGTTTTGCTGATTAGGAGATTTTAGCATGTTTGTATTCTCTGGCCAGGTGTTTTCTTTTTTTTAAATCAGAGTTCAGATTTAGGTGCTGTATGAAAGAAAGTTCCCTAAGTTAATTTGCATAATAAGTTTATGATATTTGATAAAAACTTTCAGCCTTTTTGAGACAGGAATGGAGTTTTCATAAACTTTTTTATAAACAGAGTTAAAGCTATGTCAGATTACTTTTGGGTACTTCCCTTTCAGTTTTAAATTCTCTTTGTTTTTGAAACATACTCAGAAAAGGAGTTAATCTTGAGACCACAGGTATGTACAGGTCTAGGTATGTGATCTGTTTGGCTGTTTTGTAAGGTGTTATAAATGCTGCCTGAGTGTAATCTGACACCAGGTAAGTCCCAAGTGGCCAATGATGGAAAGTGAAGAACTATGTGAAAAAACTGGAATTTCAGGTCTGGGCAGTAATTGTGGCTTGCCCTCAGTCATGGAACTGTTCCTGAGTGTCAGCAAAAAGGCAAAGCAGCCTGTTTGGCATGGAGCCCTCAGCCTGATTCATATTGTCTCTGTATCACACAACCCCCTTTTCTTTCTCTGTGTCCTTCTCCTATATGCCTGAATCTAAGGTGAGCTTGATCAAGATTGTGAAGATTTATTTCATCTTTGTATATGCCATCAGAAATCTGAGACTTTATAAACAAAAAACAAAAACTCATCAATTTGTGCTTCATTTACATGAAATAAAATTATACTTTCAATAAAGTTAGGTATAGTTATGGATTGTCTAGTATACTCAAGGCTCTGCATTTAATTCTTAGTACTGCAAAAAACAAAAACAGAAACAAAAAGCAAATAGACATTGGTATGTCACTCACCTCTGCATCACATCCTCCTGTTAAAGAATGCCTATTTTTTCTGTCAATTAAAGAATACCTGCCTGGGTGTAAATGAGGACCAAAATGTATAATAGATATTGTGAAATAGGAAGAAAATGTTCAAAGGAGAAGGGAAACTATGGAGGGGGAAGCGGGGGAAAGGAAAGATGGAAAGACAAATGAGAAAAGAAGGAAAAAATGGAAACAAAGCTTTTGTAAATAGGGAAGGGTGGAGAGGTAGAAAGGAGGGAAGGGGAATGGGAAAAAATAAGAACAAGATATGTCATGTACAGGTACAAATTCCCTATGATGATTGTGGTCATAATGCATACCTAAAATGTACCAATAAATTTAATTTTAAAAATACCTGAGTGTGGTGGCACATGCCTGTAATCCTATCACTCAGGAGACTGGGGCAGGAGGATTGCCATGACCTGGGCTACATAATGAGTTCAGGGCCAACCTGGACTGCATTTTGAGGCCCTGTGTCAAAAAAAAAGAGAATACCTAATTTTAGGTAGTTATGCTGGTTAGTTACTTAAAAAAGATAATTGAGAAGCTGGGATTATGGCTCAGAGGTAGAATGCTTGCTTAGCAGAATCACAAAAGTAAGTGAGTAAACAATACATGGTTATATTTGTAAATTAAAGAAACTATTTTTAAAGTGCTGCTGGAGATCAAACCTAAAGAGCCTTGTGCATAGTAGGCAAGTACTCTACCATTGAGCTAAATCCCTAACCCCTAGAGACATATTTTAAAATTTTTTCTAAACTTTTTTCAATTCCTTGAATATTTGAAACAAAAAGATTAGGGTGTAGAATTTTCTTTTCGAATTATGAGAATATTGAATGCAGTAAGGAATGATTTAGTCACTTTGTGATGTTAACTTTTTTTTTCCATTTTGTGTATAACTTGGTATGGAAAGAGCTTTTTAATGAGATTTATTTTAAAATTACTGTTCTTTTCTCTGCTCTTATTCAGCAGGATCTGAGGGACCATTACTGTCCTTGTTTGGGGAAGTTCAAATCTGATTACTTGACTAACTACAGTGTGGTGTTTTTCATAATTGTTTTCTCCATATCCACATTTTTGATGTAAATCATACTACATTTAAAGAACTGGAAAGAAAAGTGTCAGTAAAAAATATTTCAAACCTTTTTTTTAATTTCAAACTATTTTAATGAGTTAATGGGTTATGGTTAGTCTTATGAAAAGGCTTATAAGTGTTTCCTTTTCATTTTTTGGGCTGAGTGAACGTGTAAAGTGAGATGGTATGATAATGGTAGAATTGGGAATGAATATTAGTAAAACTAAGATTTAAAGAAATGATGGAGAAATCTACAAACCCCTCTTCTTCAGTTGTTCCAGATAAATATATGGTTGAAAATAATCTATGCCATCTCCTGGAAATCAAATCTCTCCTTCAAGTGTCTTACCAGTTTTACATAATTAGCACATCACAGGGAAAACAAAAAAAATCCTAGCTGCTCTCAAAGAAGTAGCAAATACAGAAGATTCTTCTGTGAGTGGCTGCTTGTACAGATCAAAGGGCAATACAAAACTATGGGAGCAGGGAAGAAAATGATCTATTGTAAGTATCAAAAGGTTGCATAAAATATTATATAAAAGCATTTTGGAGTATGGTAAGGCACTTTTGTTGCAGATATTTATGTAAGAGACTTCTTTTTGGCTTTCAATTAGTACATAGTAGGGCTTGAACCCAGGGCCTCATGCATGCAAGCCAAGGGCTCTATTGCTGCATTACATATCCAGCTCATTTTTATTTTTTATTATGTAACGGATTTCTAAATTTTCCAGATATTCTACAGAAAAATATTAATGAAGTTCTGTTAATATAGATACAGGGGCTAGTGCATATACTAGTTGGATTTAAGATTTTGGAAAATTGATTTTCATGTCAGCTTTTCCCCCAAACTTGTCCCTTTAACATTATTAGGAAATAGGGCTGGGGATTTAGCTCAGTGGTTCTGCTGCCTGCCTTGCAAACATAGGGACCAGAGTTTGATCCGCGGTACCCAAAAAAAAGGAAATTGGTGTCCGTCTTTTGTTTGAAATCAGCTTTCTTTTTGAAATATTTGTACTAAAATTATAAATGCTATTTCAAAGAACTAGATGTTATTTAATATGATTATTTTTGTATCATCGTCTTATGTCATATTTATGTTTATTACCATTTCATACAGTATTTAATTACTCACTAATTTAGTTTTTGCTCAGTCAACTCAGTTCCAACCCAGTGGCTTCCCATTCTCACCCACTCCTAAATTAATTTTTTACATTTACTTTTGTTAATAGTGGTAACTTTTTTATATATATATAGAACCATCTTTGGCAGACATTTTTAAAGCATGTTTCCCTCAGCTATGAAATTGTTTTTGCTCTTAAGTTGTTTCTGTTTTTCTACTATTATAAAGTGCAGTTCTTTGCATGTTCTAATTTGCCATGACGTGGTTAAGTGCTGTTTCCTTCCTGTTGGCTTACAAGCCTGTCCTAGAGATAAGGGTACATTTCAGTGCATTAAAAAAGAAGTCACTGAAGACAGGCTTAAGCATGGTAACTCTTAAAGCATTCTACCTATCAGAATCCTTTTAAGGAACAGAAAAAGTGGGCTTTAATTTCTGCTTATTTTTAAAATCTCTTACAATAGTATGTACTAAATTTTAAATTCATTAGGTTTTAAATTCTTACATTTATCAGGCCTAACAAGGATGCTGTCTGAATGCTTCTATTAAGGGCAAAAATATATATTATGAAATTACTCATAGACTAATAATTTTTTGTAGGTGGTTTACTGGATTAATGGAAAGCAGAAAATTATTTATATGTCCATTATTGCAGTTGCAAACCTTGTTATTAACGCTGCATTTTTTTTTTTAAAGTACTTTAAAGTTTAACTGAGAGAAGGAGAAAATCTCTTCATTTTCAAAAGTAAGAGTGCTCTTAGCAGGAATGAAGTCTTCAAGGAAAATATGTATCTAAAAAAATAAGTATCTAAAAATATATCTAAACGATAAGTCTGTATTTGTTGGTCATGTTGATTTTATTTAGAAACTATAGCAAACTCATTGGAAATACTGTGCACTATATCAGTTATGTTTTAAATGGGTGGTTGTTTCTTCACAATGAATTTAATGTTTTATTTTTCAGGTCAAAAAGCTTAAGAGAAGAAAAAGTTTAGAAAAAATTGGCACTGTTTGCTTAGGATATCTGTGAACCAAGAAAATCTGAAGAACCTTCTTTAAAGAACACCTTGGGTATATAGTAATTTCACGGACTTGGCTGAGAGGTTTTACCCAAATTTGTCAGTGGACTCTGCTACCTGGTCCTTGAACCTGTTTGGAATTTTTTTCTCATGTGGATCTAAGAGGAATGCTTTATTATGGCTGCTGTTGTCCAACAGAACGACCTAGTATTTGAATTTGCTAGTAACGTCATGGAGGATGAACAACAGGTATGAGACTTAGAGAAAACTGGATTTTAATAAACTTGCTGTGTTTTTTCATTTGCAACAGAAAATTACTTTAAAAGAAATGTAAATATTTGGAGGCAATTTATGCTCTTATATTTTAAGTGCCAATTAATTCATTAAGTATAAATTTTATCCTTAGCTTTGATGTGGTAATAAGTAATACTTTGGGGTCTAGCTTGTTTTTTATTGTTGTTGTCATTGTTGCTTTGCTTTTTTTTTTTTTAAATTACACTTAACAGTAAATGGCTTATTACTTAACAGTAAATGCCTAATTTTTCAATTGAAAAATTCTAGAAAACATAATAAATGTTAATGTACATTATTAATGTTTATAGTTGTGTGCTATTTCTTCAAGCAGATGAAGTGATATTAGCAGTCCCATAATCACACATCTTTTCAGTCCAAAGCATGTGACTCTGAGGAAGTTACTTAACTTCTCTAGATCTGGATTTCATCATCTGTAGGAGAATTTCTAAATCAGCTTTCATTGAATTTATATATGATATGCCAATTACTGTTTTCCAAATGCTAAAGAAATCTAAGAGATATTTCATAAAGGATTTCAGTTTAATTCCAGCCCCTGCATAACTTCCTCCAAGGGCTAGGAGTATTTGAGACTTTCTAATTTATTTCATTTTAAACAGGTTATGTGGGGAATGTAAGATATGATGTGGGAGAAATAGAGTGTTGGATGTCCAATCAATTTACTAGGAAAAATATTTTGAGAACCAATACGTTTAAAATATGTCTAATAAAAGTTGATTTATATGTTGAAATAAACCTAACCCTAAATATTTAACTTTAATAGGCCAATTTTGTCATGCTTTTATTATAGATATAGTTACTGTAAATAATGAAAGTGATTCTCAGCTTTGTCAAGACATTATAATTTCTTAGTTGTTTGTAACGTTCATTGAAGTGGCAGAATAAAAAGTTTATAAATAAACCCCCAACAGGGGAGAATTTAGATTAACTTGTTCTAAAATCAAGATGAGCTTCAACTACGAAGGAAAAATTTTAAGGGAGAAGATTGTCTGGTCCCAACTAAAAAATACTGTGATAGTGATAATGGATTCAAACTAGAAACAATAGAAAATATATTTTAGGAGAGGAAAGTGTTTTGAATTTGTTTTAAAACAGGATGTTATGTATCTGTTAAGGTTTGAAAATGTGTATGCTGCCCTCCTAGATGAAAGAGCCTGTGATAGGTCCCCAGGCTTGATGTGGTGAATGTTCATCTCAGGGTGTGGCAGCGGAGGACAGAGCTGTAAGCCACTCACTGGTATTCTTTTATCCCTCTTTTGACTATGAAAAGCGCACTTTACATTATGGTACCATATTTATACATGCATATATGTGGCTTTAAAGTTTTCCGAAACAGTACTTATACACTTAACTACATATGATACACTTGATTTGTCTAGGAGAGGTTATATCTTTGGAAGGGGTACATGGTAATATCAACATGTACATATATGTATTTTCCTTTTTTTTTTTTTTATGTGATACTGGGAACTGAATCCAGGGCCTTCTGCAAGCTAAGCATACTATCATCGAACCACATCACTAGCCCTGCATTTTCTTCAGTTATTTATTTTAATTGAATAAAATGAACCTGTATTGGTTTCTTTTTTGCAGATAATATTATAAGGGCTTTACAAATATCAACCACATGAGGTAAATACTGATATCTTCATTTTATGATGAGGAAATTAAGGCATGAAGAGGTTAAATGACTTCTTGCCCCAAATCATACAGCTAATAAGTAATGTAGACATAATTTGAACCTTAGCAGTTTGACTTTCCCTAATGATATTGTGATGTATATTCCTGCAGTGATGCACAACAATCTTACTGTCTTATAATCAGTGTCAGAATGTTTGAAACTTGGCCATGCTTACAGTTGTTACAGTTCCCATGAGCATGGGAAAAACTTAATTGCTTGGCATAAGGATAGATCTAGTGGTGTCAGTCTTATCATCATCTTGTATAAACTATGGTTCTACCCCCTTGTATTTGCTTGTTAGTTCAATTTATTTTTAATATAGAGTAACAACTTGCCATTTATTAAAAAGTCACTTAATACAAAAAATAGTGAAAATCTCTATCCTCAAAAGAAATGAACATTGTTTTTTGATGTATTTCATATTTTTATTAGTACATGTTTACAGTACATAATGATAACTAATGATTTATCATAGGGAGTTAGACATGTACATAATATATCTTAATTCTTTTTACATTGATGTGTTTTTTTAGATAAAAATGAACTGTATTATGTACAAACTACATGGAGATAGTTTTAAGGTAGAAATGAAATTATGCTAAACTTCTTGGTGACTTGTTTTTACTTCGTGTGTGTATATGTATGTAGGGTTCTGCATCATTTATTTTATTTTATTTTATTTATTTATTTTTTTGGTACCAGAGATCAAACTCAGGTCCTTGCGCTTGCACAGCAGGCGGTGAATCCACTGCATCATTTATTTTTCAGTATGATGAATGGCATGTTACTTTATTTCCCTAGTCCTTGATCATGGCTATTACAAGAATTTTGCTGTTAGTACAATATTGCGGCCAACATCCTTTTTTGGGTTTAGAACAGACCCTGCTAGTGACAGTAATGATTAAGAGCTCAGATATTGAAATCAGAATGCCTTGGTTGAGTACTGGCTCCATTGTTTGGTACCTCTGTGACCTAGGGCAAGTTACTTAATCTCTCTGTGCTTTGATTTCCATATCTACAAAATGAGGTTAAAACCTAAATTATAGGATTTTTCTGAGGATTAAATGAGTTGCTATTTGTAAAATTCTTAGAACCATGCTTGGGAGATAGCTAATATTTACTGAGCACTATCATTTTTCATCACATCTGTGTATGCAAAGGCTGATCAAAAATACTGTGTGTTTAAATTTTAAAAATATTATCACAATAAAAGATACATGGCCATTAATCCCCTGCAAAACATTTCCCCTTGCTTTGGACATGCTTATCCCATCATTCTTGCCGCTTAATGAAGCAGTTCTAGAAGTCCTCTTTCATGTCTTTACCAGCTGTGATTAAAAAAAAAAATGTGATGAATGCTGTTGCTAAGTACCAGCCAACAAAAAAGCAGGCTCATAAAAACATTAAATTGAGACCACTATAACAATGCAGCTAAAGACACTAAGAAGATTTCCAGTACTGCTTCAAAAATTGGCAAGAATGATGGGATAAAAGCAAGATGTGTTCAAAGCATGATTATTTTGAGGACGGTTAATGGCAATATCTTTTAATGTAATAAATTTTTAAAAATTTAAACATTCACCCTGTTTTTCAATCATTCCTCGAATATACAGACTTCAGTTTTGAACTTGATAGTATACTCCATTTCATTAACTGTTTTTATAGTGCCAGTATTACATTGTTTTCATTAATACCATTTATAGATTTGATATCTAATAGGATACTCCCCATTAAGATAGAGTTTTGAATAAATTTTATTAGAGTTAGCTTGTTACATAAACTGTTGTGATTTTTAACTTTTTAAAGTTAAAAAAATTTTGTCTTTTTTTTTATGGTACTGGGGATTGAACTCGGGTCCTTGTGCTTGTGAGGCAGGTGGGCGGAACCACTGAGCTAAATCCCCAGCTAAAATTTTGTCTTTTAAAGAACAGCTTATCTTGTTTTATGATCCCATATTGCTGAAAGCACCAAATTAGAATTATTTCCTGTTTTCGATTATGGTCTAGGTTATATATGTAATAGTCTAGTCTAAAGAAATTGATATTGTCTTATGTCTCTTTGCCAGCACCTTGGTAATTTTCTTTTATATAAATTCCTACTCTTCAAAATGCTTTGAAACTTTTGGGTAGAGATGGTGGGGATTGATGTGGGAAGGGAAATGTCAGCACTGTTGGTGTGGACAGTTTAGAAGTCTGTTCTTGCTGTCAGTTCTAAAGTGGAAATATTTCTAGCTGAGAAAGAAGTACTTATATACAATTTTGAAGTGCTTGTCCTTTTATGTGAAGGTGCTTTAAACAGATGTGTTTGCCTGATAAATGTATAAGAATAAGAAGAAAGCTAAAATCTGTAGATACAAGGTTCTAAACAGAAGAAAACTGGCCACTTATTTAAATATTCCAGAAGTTAATTTAATAAAAAACACCTGGTATTTAAAATTTTTATAATTTTGATATACTTTTTTCAGTTTTTGTTTTTAAAAGTAATATTTTTAGCAAATCATAGTATTTAAGCTTAATAAGAGAAGTTTGGTGACTTGCCTGGAAAAAACGAACAAGTAGAACAAATACTTACAGACTCTTACCGCAGAATGAGAATAGTCTTAGGACTTTCTTTCCTAGGTTATAAGTTGTCCTGCTTTGACTGTTGATTCCTGGAGGTTAAAGGATAACATTGCCTTGTTCTCCTTTTAGAAGTTGCCAAGTGACTTTTTTTATGCAGTGTTTGGGAATCAGTACTCAATGTAGTATCAGGGGTAAAGCCAGAGGGCTGGGGATTCAGAGAATTATAGACATTGACCACTTTGGGACTTCGGGAAAGCTTCACTATGAATGTTACATTTGAATTAGATCTTAAAGGAAGATCAGTGTATTCTATAGATGAAGAAGGGGGGGAGGAGGTGTTTTAGAGCAGTGAAATGCATCAAAACTTAATGGATTTTTCTTGACTGCATGATCAATCTGAACATCTTAGCACTTACAGTTAGAAACTGTTCACAGTGTAACTGACTGGGCCATGTTCTTCTTGCACTACAGTATTTTTCATTTTTGCCAGCCTATCATGTGATTTTCTCAAATGCTTTCCTGCCTTCTTACTGTCTGTTCAGGAATGATATACCACATTTCATACCTATTGTATGTTTAAATTCTAATTATCTTTCAAGTCTTAGAACAAAATCTACTTAGTTCATTCAGTAACTGACCCCAAAAATCATCCACTCATGAATTAACAACTTTATCCTCTTATTCCTGTATCACTTTGTAATGTCACACATTACAAATTTTCCCAAATAGTGCCAAATTACTTGAAGACAGGGTTTGTCATTTTTTTTCCTTTTTCTACTTAATATACCTCTAAGGTGAATCCTTTTTTTCTGTTGTTGCTATTGTTGCAATACTGGGGATTGAACCCAGAACCTCATAAATGTTAGCCAAGTGCTCTACCACTGAGCTACATTCTTAGCTCTATTGATTGAGTCTTCTTAAAAGCTTTTCTTCTTAATCTGTTGATAAAATGATCTGTTTTCTCCTAACTATAGTATATATTTTCTTGAGACCTAATGTTCACATTCTCATTTAGTGTGTGGACATTATGACTATGTCACTACAGCTTCAATACCTGAAACAATCATTTATGGTGTCTGTTTTTCTGGTAATATTGTGGACTATTCTGTTGTACAAGTTTAGTGAAAACCACCTCAAGCACCTTTAAAAAAAAGCTTAAATGGTGAATAAAACAGTTTTCTCAGGTTTTAGTATTATTATTGTTTGGAAAAACTAACATCCCTATAGTTTTCCTATTTCTTAGATTTCTTCGAGCTGTCGGGCATTTTTGATGCTGGTACATTTTGAAAATGAAAGTGTATGTTGTAGATTGAGATGTACATATGAGTGTACAAACCTGTCTTTTCTTTTTCAGCAAGGATGGAAATATTGTTAGGTTAGAGATTAAGTGTTTCTAGTAAAATAGGATAGAAGGAATGAGTTTGATAGTGGTCTGTGTGTGATTTATTACCAGCAATGTGTGGAGGGCTAGAAGTTGGGATATATGATAAAAATGAATGTAGATGATGACAGTGCATAGGCAGGCTCCAGAAACATTCAGGGTGAATTTTACTAGAGTTTATTGAGCATTTTCCTCATGTTTTTAACAGAGATTATCCTACTTAATTTTTACTGCAATCTTAATGAGGGTAGGTCCTCACATTCTCACTTTATAGAGGATTTAAGTGAGGCCCAGGAGAAAAGGAGCAACTTGTCTGTAGTTACATTTCTACTAAGTGAAAAAGTTGGAAATTATAACCACCCTGAGCCTTCACCTATTTGAATTATGCTAGTTCCTGCTACATGTTGTGGTGAAAAAGTAGTTTTAAATTGGAAGAACTGTTTTACTTTGCATTTTAGTCAAAAAAGTGTTATTGATTGTAATTTGTTAGTGTAATTACAGTAGATAAACCATACACTTGACAAAAAAAGGCTGCATATACAGGTATGTTTTATTGTGATATAACTTATCTATTTAAAAGTATAATTTGTTGGTTTTTA